TCTTGCCTGGCTTTATTTGGATTAAGGAGTAGTCAGTTTTGTTCACTTCCAAACTCCTGTCTCTGCCATGTAATGAGATTGCTAAGGTCTAATGAAAAGCAGGAACAGCCCCAGCTTTGGGCTATCCCTTTCCCACGACTCTGTAAACTGAGTTGTCTTTCTGCATACCCCACCATGCTTATATGCAAGTGAACAAAAGGAGTAGCTGAGAACAAAGCCTCACAGGCAGGAGTTAACTAGATCAAAAAACTGGCAACCTCATCCTTTAGGTCTGCCACCAAGGTAAAGAAACTTATGTGCAGACATAATACTACTGAGTATTGCTATTCCAAATGGTTACTGAAAATATAGCAGGGAAACACTGGAAAACAGAAATGTCTGTTATGTGTCTACCTTTCACAGATTTTCAATAACACTTAAGAGCTTAACATCTTTTATCCTTTTGAAACCATTCTTAATAAAATAACATTAGACCTTTCTCAAGTCTGTCACTTCCTGGGCCACCTCGACCTAGATCAATACACTCCTGTTAAGTGTTATTATGCACTGTTCACAGGTCCTCCATCAGCATCTTGTTGAAATGACAGTTTTCAATGTGACATGCCTTTCTGAATTCATTTTCGAGTATGGTTTTAAGAAATAATGTGTCAAATGTATTATAAAAATCCCTGAACTATAACCTTTTTCATTTTCTTTATTCATTGCCTGTTTTGCTCAGTCCAAGAATTCTAGCTTGCTTTGCATGATTTAACAGAAATCTTTGGGGATATTCTTAAAAATGAAAATGTTCCAAAATGGATATACATGTGCAACAACTTCATCTTCTAACACCTGTGGCATGAACACTTTCATTGTGTGAAACTGGTGTGCAACAACTTTAGTATTTTTAAATTCTCGATGTTGATCCAACATACCAGCTCCCAGCCTTCATAATTTTACACTACGTGCCCAGAAAATACACGATTTAATCTATATACTCAAGTTCTCTGTTGCCTTTTCCAGCTTTCTTCCCTGTTTGCATTTCATTTTTTTTGCATTTGCATTTTTTTTTTCAAATCTACTTTTCTTCCACATTCACAATGTATCCTGCAGTACCCTTTAGTTCAACTACATGGCATACAGCATCTATTGAATCACTTCTTACAAACAGTGTGTTGTGCTACTTACAGTACAAAATTGCACAAGTTATCTTCATGTTTGTTTCCTCCGATAGACTCTTTCCAGTCACTTCTTAAATGAAAATTGATTTTCTCATATTCATGCAAGAAATCAGAACCTTCAGACAATATCAATCTATAATGAAACATATATGGTAGGAGTGGGCAGCACTGTATCAAATTGTCTGGTTTAGAAGATGAGGAATGAGATTTAGTTGCTTAACACAACTAATGAACTAGCATTTTCTGCATGTCACTCAGCTGCCGCCCCACAAAGGCACTGGTCTACAGGTTCTGTGTCACGTATCCTCACCCTATGATAGATGCCTTCAATACCCTTAAGTATCTGAATGCACTAAAATGATAAGTTGAAAAAACTAAATCGGATTTGGAATGTCTATCTGTTATGCTAAGAATTGTCAAACAAAAAAAGACCCAATATTACCACTACTAATATAAACTTGCTTATTTCTTAGGCCAGTTATGATGCTATTTCAGTATTTGGAAAGGTTTACCTAAATGTGAATGGTGATTAAAGCGCTAAGCAATAATACTGAAATCTATTATTAGCCTCTTCACACTTTGATGGGCCTGCTATTTTGCCATGCAGATAACTGAATCTGTGAACTATGTCCTGATACTTCAATTTTTAAAATGTAGGTTCTTTTCTTGGTTTTGAGGATATTGATGAGAATTTTACCCCATAAAAACCCATAATTTTTACTGGTATACTGGAAAATTATAGAATTTGGAAAGAATTTAAAATTCAACTTTTTTTTTTTTTTAATTAGGACCAACATAACAATTTAGTCATTCCTTAAAATGCAGCTTTTAAAGTCTGGGATACACTTGAATGTTCTTAGATGTCCCTAATTTATTGGGTAGGTTTGCACTATGACATAGTGGTCAATGAACTCACCAAGTTGCATATGTGGTTTTATTTACATTTCAGAATTCTACTTTCAAAGTATAGAAAAGAATAAAAACAACCTACCAATTTTTTGCTTGGCTTTTTTACTGAAACGAGAATTTGTTCCACAAAACCACGAAATAGATGATTGGAAACTTAATATTATTGCCTTGGGTAGAATCAGCTTTTGTTACTTACTGAAAGTGACAGTTCAGACCTCAAGACAGATCAGAATGTAGCTCATTTTACAATGAACTAACTGGTTTTAAATATAGATTAATCCATATCATAAAGAAAAACTATAGTTTCTAAGCATTAAACAGAAACCAGTTTTTCTCACTGAATCTGAAACTTCCCTGTCCTTAAGTAAGCATTGTAAGATTGGACTGAATGCTAGAAGCAAATTCCAAACATGAAATAAGAAAAAGGAATCCTGAAAGAAATTATATATCTGTAAAGCTTATCTATCTGAAAAGTGATTTTAATTATTTGCACAGGAATTGTAATATCTTTAAAATAGCCCATGCAGAAATAGGTATTCATATTTTCTGTAACTTTGTAAAGACAAATAAAAATGGAGATATTATAAGTTCCCATTATAACTGGAAAATACATGTTCTGAAAGTGAAGAAAAACTCCTATATCCCCTATTTTCTTCAAAGGAATCATTTGAGAAGGTAACAAATTATGATTTCAACTTCCCCTGCCATTTTACTGTACATTATTCTTGGAATAAAATTGTGATCTTTTCAGGTAGTGTGAATCACTGAACATTAGTAGAGCCAGTATTCAGTATTCAGGACAGAGGAAGGCACCTTATATCTTTAAGGTAGTTCTTCAAGTATCTGACAACTCCTTTCAACATAAAGTCTACAAAAGTCGCAAAACCTTTGCTAGTATTTTGGCTTAGGACATGAAGATCAGTTATTTGAACAAAGAAGTGCATTTTGATAAGGATGATGAAAAATAGAATGTGCAGATTTCAATACATTCGTATGACAAAGAAGTGCACAGCTTACAAAATAGGAATAGCATGGTGCCTTCATGAGGGGTTTCAGCATCATGAGAATTTTATTTTAATTTAGTTTCCCCAGTGCATGAAGTCCCTAAAATATGGGGTCATGAAGACCATCCCACCACTCTGCTTGTAAGTTGTCTCAAGCTACTGTTTTTTTCTAACACAGGATTTCGAAACTTAACTTTTAACCTCTCTGAGACTTAAGACATCCAATTTCCATACTAACTTGCTTGGAAATTAATGGAAAGCAATTTAGTTTTAGTACTGCAATCATGACCCATTTGTAAATTATGATACCTTTTGTGAACAATGAGTAGTGGAAACTGTTCAAAGCCTAAAAATCTCTTGTAAGGCATGCAAATAAACAACAGGCTGAATTTAGGTCTTGGGGTACAGATCTATAGAGTGCACACTGAAGCACATGGCTGTGATATGGTAAGAACTGGCATTTTGTCTCGTAATCAAAGCTATTTCTGCTGAGAAGAACATCAAATTAATGACAAAATATTAGAAGGCTCAGCTAAACCACTGGACAATGACTAGGGCTGATCCTGTAGATATGCAGTTACACTAGAATGAGATGTTAATTATAAGTAACCTAGTTTTGGTAGTTCATATGTACAGTCATAAATAGAAATATCATGACTTCTTTGATCTTAACATATCTGCCAAAGACATTCTGCAGAAGGTGTTCATGTTCTACCCTTTCTCGACTTGGTACATATATGTATATATAAGAGGTAGAATACATAAACGTTTTAACATTTGAAAGGTATTTCAGGCTAGCTTCCAGTTATGTGGTATGGCCTTGGAAAATTTTATTCAAATATCAATTTCAGAACCACACTACTGAGACCTGAGTTAGTTTTAAAGGACTGTGTGATGCATGATGCTTAGTGAAGCAATAGTCTCAGAGCTCATGAAACTCTAACTGGCTGACAGTAGGAGTTAAGAATAGAGATGATTCTTAGTGACAATAAGAAATTAAGAGTAAGTATGTCTGAGGATGACCTGAAAGAGTTAATGATCCATTTCACCACATAAATGCATTTGTGAGAGCCCTTTTTGCTGCTGCTAAGATCTCTCGCAAGGCAGTGCAGGCATGCCATCACAAAAAGAGACACACAAAAAAAGAGAAGACGTAGGCACTCACAATCATGCATGTTCATGGACTTTAAGCAAAGATGGTCCCATAGCTTAAATATAGCCAAAGATTCTGATTCCCCAACAGTTGGCCATGAATGATGGAAAATTCAGGATCATAATTGCCTGCTTGTTTTTAAAAGCCATTCTTTGGATTAGGATGAGGAGATACACCAGCCTCCTGAAAAGTAGCCTCTGTAGTCTTGGTCTGTATCTAGTGTTCCTGTTACAGTTAGGACAGTGAAGGAACTTAGTAGATGAACTGCTGACAAGTGGATTTATTGTATCTGTTTCATGAATTGACCACTTCTAACAAAGGGGAAGAGGGAAACTTAATTTGGTATGGCATGCATGCATTATCCCACTGCTCTATTTTGGTGCTGCCTGAAAGCTTATTTTGGTAGGTATTGTATCCCAGAAGGACACAGGACTAGAACTGGCGGGATATCAAAATACTTGCAAAATCAGCTTAATCAAACAAAATCAGCTGACCTGTGGAGATGTGAAATGCACATTTAGAAACACTCAGAGCTGAAATGCAGGTGAGGCTAAGTACAGGAATGCCAGAGTTATGTGGATACCTAACAACAACATGAATATCACCAATAAGGACATTTATAAATAACAGTGGCTTTTTTTAAAGTTACTCTGAATTTCAAAACCTCTAAAATGTTAAGTCAGGACTCCCAAATTCACTAAAGTATGGAACTAAGAATTGTTAATCTAATTTTTAATGCTGGGGAAACTGAGGCAGAGAGGTTCAGTGACTTACCCAAGGCCACAGAGGGAGTCACTGTCAGAGCCGGGATTAGAGCTCAGGAGTTTCTGGCTCCCAGTCCCAAGCTCAGACCAGTAGACCATGGCCTCAGGACATTTCCAGCTGGTCTTCAGTCTAAAAAAAAGTAAATTCTCAAGTATGTTACAAATATGTAACATATATATGTATATATTTATCTTTTTACCTTGAATGTAATGTTATGAATGAGAACACATTGCTCATAAGTCAGTGATGAGAAGCAAACCAGTATATTTTATCTATTTTATCATACATATGTGTACGATAAAGCTTTGCAGAAAAATCTTGATTTAAATTGCAGCCAATACAAATAGGTATTGTATTTTTCAGGGTAAGGAACAAATTTCCTTTCCAACCCAGCCAGCATGTCATTTATATTAATGGTAGGGAATGCTAAGTTGCTCTGTGTATAAGTAAACTCTATTAAGAAAGTCAGGTCCCTTGGTGAAGCTAGATCCTTAGTAAATTTTACCAGCTAAGCACTGAGCTCCATGTCAGAGTAATTACACCTTTTATCCACCGTGAGCTCTCTCTTAGCTTCTCCACATTCCTTAATTTCCCACTTCAGCTAATTTAGCAGTAAAATCACAAAGGTTTAAAAGGTTAGCTACCGAGAAACTGGTGCATGAATGTTCTGTTAAGCTCCATGCATTGAAATCACATTATGTAGACGAAGGAATTAATTAAGTAACAATTAGGTAGTGATGGATCATTGGCAACATATACACACTTTGGTGCTAAAAATTAATCTCCCCTGTAAAACCAATACATTGTGTATCTTCTCATCTATACACTAGGAAGTTTTATACTTGAAATATAAAATAGACAGGCCTTTCAGTAACATCTTTTAAAAAAAGGTATACCTCCTGGCACTACTTTAAAAAATCATATAGCGTAATTTTTGATAAATAATTGGAAGAGTAATAAGGATAGCAAAGGGAGAACAAATTTTAAGGCAGGAAATTTTAAAGTGACTGTAAGAACATTTGTCATATGAAAGTACTTATATGTTGAAATAGCTAACAATTGTGTAGTATTCTTTTGCTATCTTCTTTTACAAGTTCCCATATTGTTTCCATGTATTGACAGTCATCCTCTTAATACATAGATTGGCAGTTAGCCCAGTCAATCCTCAATTCTAAAAGCCTCTTAGCAGATGAAAAATCTTTGGTTCATTCACACCTTGTAGAAAGAACAACAGGGCAGAAGTGACATCCAGATCCATTTAGAATATACTTTGAGTCTGATTTTCCTTTGCCTTGCACCTTGTGTAGTCTTTTATGGTTGTGCAAAGAGAGCACAAGATGGATATAAAACACTGCTACCCATGTGAGGACAGAATTCTGATTTGGTTGCATTATTTCCAGAAGTGATCACAAAAAGTGCTAGGCAGCTGAAAAATCTGGTTCTGCATAGAAAGTGTAAACAATTTTGACACAAAATATAAAGTAACAGCAGCCCTTTCTAAACAATTTACAGAAATTGTGCTTTTGCTCTGCAGCAATGGGTAATTTTCATTTGTTGTTTGCTTGGAATTTTCATGGAAAAAATACTAAATGTTAAACTCATCTACAGAAAAGGATACCTATTTCTTCCTTTTTTTGTTAGAAATTTATTTAACTATGAGTCCTAAAGTATATTCTCACATAAAAGGAAACTCATGTCCTACATAAGATCTCTACTTGTCCTACCTTTCTACGTGCTGCTTTTAAGCTCAGTACTTAAAAGGCTGCACTTCTACACAACCTCCTGGAATCAATGCAAAAGCTGGTATTATCACAACAGCTGGTCTCAGTTCATCCAAGTTCAGTACTATTCTGGTTTTAGTAGGGGTGGCAAATTATTGTTTCAGCATTTACCAAACAGTGATATCTCTGCTATATGATCTACTACCAGTATGATAACACAAGACCAACTACCAAAAATATCTTTAAGATGCAAGCTATATCATCAGGAAAGGCCTGCAAATATAAAATTAACATATGTGCATAAATAAAATTTAGTTAAAAATCTAAGGACTTAACCTGGCTATTGCTGGAGATGTGGTCAAGAATTATTTCTACTTAATAACAATGTAAAGTAACTAATTCAATATGTCTGGGCATTTATTTCCCCATACTACCTGGTAGTTAATTTAATTTTCTTGCCCTTCCCAGTACACTTAAATACTATGCTAGGCCTGGTAACTCATGTATGTTGATTAGGAGCTGAAATAGAAATTATTTGACTGCATTAGCAGCTGTTGGTCTGAGAGAATTGCTACAGTAAATAGTGTCTCATGGTTTTGGTTAGAAATTTTTTTCTCTTTTAATCACAGTCATGCATTTGATGGAGTCATCCTAAGACATAGTTTCCAAATCTACTACTGTTGTCCAAAACTTACCCTTCAACCAAGTGGCTAAAGAACCTATTTTTTTTTTTTTTTTAATTCGTAATGTGTTATTAATACTGTATTATAGACTAGAGTTTCTTGTGGGTTTTTGTTCTTTTTTTTTTCTCTCTCCCCCTTCTGCATTCAGTGCTTCTATAAGTATTCTGAGTTGCTAGTCTGGTTTGACTGAAAAGTACTGTGTGTTTGTTGTGTGTCTGCATGTGTGATACCAACTGTTGAAAACTGCTTGATGTTAGATGAGGGCTTATGCTCAGAGCTGTTCTACAGTTGGCTCTCTGGCAGAATCTCTCCTCACCAATGACAATGATGTATCTGTGTGGGGAGTCTGTTTTATAATACTACACTTGCCATGGCCTTAATTTTACCAATGGGGCACGATTATGATTTCATTTACATTAATCAAATTCATGAGTCATTCTATTCATGTCAATAGCATTAAAGAGCTATACACACAAGTACAAGTTCAGAATCAGGCTTCTGGTGTTTAATCTGAAAGCATATCTGAATCACTTCATTAAAGACAGAAACTGAAGGATAGATCCTGTGCTTACTTTGCATTACTCAGTCATGCCATTAGCATAAAACATCAAATAAAGAACTAAAATGATGGCTGGCAACGTGTCACAGCACATGGGTTTTCCGTTTACCTCAGATACAGAAAAAAACCCCTAAATTAACAAGATTTAAGACTATATTCCAAGTATGACAAAGCTACCATATTAGATCTCCTTGCCCTTGAAAGCTGGCATTCATGTTAAAAAAGCAATTTCCTTCCATTGTTTTTTTATGTCACTTTTACATTACTTGAATGCAAAAGATTTAAAGGCAAACCATATCTAAGTAAGGCCTCAGAGACTGAGTTAAGTTTTATAGTCCTGTCCATAATGAATAATATATCTGGTAAATATAGAAGAATCAAAACAGAGACAATTCATAAAATTTGTTTTGTATCTCATAAAGCACAATCAAATCTTCCTTCTTTTTAAAAAGGGAAAATTACATTAATTTTCCAAAATACATGCATTCTAAAACAATAAAAGGTTTTATACTGCTATCTGTCTCCTGCTCAGACAGAGAAATTGTGCAGGGGATGATGGGTCTTAATTTAGTCCTCACTGATAAGTACTTTTAAGACTAAATATTCTTGAAATTGCACTTATTTAAATTACACTCAAGTTCCCTGTAAACCTAAAAAAAGATTATAAGGAGGGGAAATAATTTCAAGAGATCTAGCAAGCTATCAGAAAATTGCTCTATTATATCTCTTCAGATTTTTTCCATTTTTTAAGTCAAAGAACTACTGGCATTTGAGATCATTTTCTAGAAATCTGTTTGATATATTACAGGCCATAGAAACTATTACTGTCATATATACTTTCAGCTTCACTAAAAGCACATGCCCCAAGACACCCAATCAGAGAACTGAGGGGTTTATCAACAAACCAGGACTAAAAGAAAACTGGAAGAAGGGATCTTTTGCTATGTTTTCTGTAGGTCTCACTGAAAACTAAAGATCTGTGCAATTTGCTTTTCCAGTATAGTGGGAATAGCAAAAATATGTTCTCCGGAACTCCCAGTGAAAGCTTTCTTTTTGCCTTGCTAGACCATTGTTCAGTTTTACATCCTCCACTACCTCAGCATAAGAAAATTCATGTACAAGGAAGCAATAGGATACTGTCTTCAGGCTGGATACAAATGCTAGCTGGTGCCTTTTAAGAAAACCTTGATATGATTTCCACTCTTAGTAACCATTGGAATGACACAATTTCCCTTGTTATTCTTTCCAATCTTATCCTTTGTGATAACTTTGCTTTGTATTTCAGCATGCACACTTGAGGACACAGATTAATTATAAGGCAACAAGCTTTACATAACTGTGCTGAAAAACAATTAAAGTCTCATTTTTTGTTTTTCAATAAACTAAAGTGAATGGAAAAATTAGAGAAGTATAGAATCGAGAAGTGACCTACCGTGGTTGTCTTTATCCGTCCTCCTGGTTGCGTACAGGTCCAGCCTGATTTATTGATTAGCAAATCACAGCCTTCTCCTTCTAAACATGGAAGCATTTCACACCACTGTTTTGTTTTGATAATTCGTGCTATGGAACAGAAAAGGAAGAAGAAAAAACAAAACCAAAAACAATTGGCAGGAGAATTCATATTTCACTTATCTCTAAACACTTTCTCATTTGAGTTGTCTATTTTCATCATCTGATAATTCAGCAATAGGTTATCATGTAGACAGCTCTAGGCAATTTACAAACTTATTTACAACACCTGCTGTGCCAACAAATTTCATTTCAAACTTAAAAGCCAGCAATAAAACAAAAGACAGCTCTATTACTAAACAAAAGAACGTAGAAACTAGCTATTTTTCTTATTTCATGCTCCTTCCAATCAAGGAAACATTGCTGGAAGGGCTAACAACTGAAGCCTTACTGTCCTAAGTAATCATGGTAGCCTAAAAGTGACCCACAACGAGGATCCATTGTGTTAGACTCTCCTTAAACCTGAACAGACACTCCTTATTCTGATGTGCTCACAGTGTAAATAGACATGGTACATACAGTGTAAAGAGAAAAGCTATAATAAACAGTTAGAGAGGTCAACATAATCACAGCAGTTGTGAAACTCCATGATACTAGCAATGGTAGGGGTATAGTTAGGGGCAGAAACTAGGAACATAAGACGGAGAGGTGTTGAAGGAAGCAAAGGTTGAGAAATCATGGACAAGGCAATAATAAGCAGAGGGACAAGACAGGTGTAAACACCCTACTACAAGGGAAAAGAAGTCTAGTTAGGAAGGTCCTTAATTGAAAGATGGTGTGATATGTGTTTTATGTGTCCTCTTAATGCTTGTGTCTCTGGCAAGCTGGATCTGCAAAATTTCCTCTAAAGTCACACACAGCAAGTAGTCTGAAACAACAGAGCTCTAGCTGCAATAAAGCAGCTATAGAGTAGCAAAAGTATCTATAGTAGCTTAAGTAGCAAAGGAGTTATAGGGAGAAATTTTTCTTCAAGGCAGGGAGAAAAGGAGCTTTAATACTTGTAGATTTCCTTCTGGACTATAATATTACTTCTTTTGAGTTTATCTGTGTAGTACTACTTCTTTTGAGTTCACCTTTGTAGTATCTGAGTTCCCTCTCATAGAATAGTAAACAATATTAGTAACATCTAGTATTTTGTTATTCTTTCACTCTCCCCCAGCAGACAAAATTGTAGACTGAGGTGTTTGGGATGTTTTTCATAAAATACTTATACAGCGATACACGCCCTTGCAGAGTGCCATATACTCATGCTAAACAAGGTAAAGTCCACTAAACTAACTTTTACTCAGACTGTAAGGCTCACAATATGTATATCTTCAGTTCCTTCAGAGATCACCTCATCAATCCTTGGCTGGACTACAAGAAAGCTTCACCACTTCAATTTGTACATAAGTGTCCTAGGACTCAAGGCCAGACCTTGTTCCACATACAGAGACGCAGACCATGCCTCCCTCTGTGTTGATGTGGGACACTAATACACACAAAATGCCTTGAATAGTCATAAGTCCACCAAAAAGAGGACTACAGGAGAAAGACTTGGCAAGATAAGGGTATAAGAAGCTTGTACTGCACCAAATTAACCTGGGGTCCAAGGAGATTAAAATGCATTTCTATCCCAGTGGGAGCTGCAGCTTTATGCTCACCCAAATGTGTGATTCAGCCTGAATTTCTCTGTTTGGAATTACTAAGAATACAATTCCCAATGCCACTGGATCATGGCAAGAAATAGAAGTGCAATTTAAAGTCTTTTAATAGAATCCTTTCCAATATTTTGACATGAAACAACCTGTGTCCTCAGTTCCGGTACAATTGTAGGTAAGGTCTAGCAATATAACAAACACTGATTTCTTTCAGTGGAAGCTCAATTTGAAATTCATATTAAGATTTTCATCATAAAAAACACTTCAGGTCCAAAACATCTACATAGGAATTTGTACTGTTCATTAGGCAATATATATCTCACTGGTAGAATGACTCCGAAATAATTTTCACAACTACAATTTCTTGAAGCGAATCCACTAAGTTTTTATAGTACATAATACACAGAAATCTGGATTGTGCTTGGGCTCCATAGGTACTGCTCTACTGATAACTGGATATCAGTCTTTGAGACTAACATCTCTGTAACAGATAATAGCCTCATCCTTTCTCAGCGAAGGCATTCATTCAGTTGCAGGTTTAACAGAAAAAGCTCAGTAAAACATTAATTCAAACCTCACCCATTTGCATGCATATCTTTCGCAGTTCACATATCGAAATGGCTATTTCTATCAATGTTTCAAGAATATGAAGGATCATTGAAAGAGTACTAGATTGCCTCTACTATCTCAGCTGGGAGGTTTTTCTGGAAACATAATTTGAATTAATCCTCAAAAAAAAAAAGTATCTCCTCTGTGAATTACTCTCAGTGTTTGCTTGCTTGCTATCTCAGAATGCAGCTACCAGTATTATCACAAATACATGGAGTCCTTGCTCTGGGTATTGGCTATATCTGCACAAATTTAGGACACACCAAGAATATTTTACAGAACATAAAGTCTTCAACATTTCTGTGTTAAGTACACAGACCAGCTCATGCATTTAGGCCTTGAGAATCAGATCAACTGCTTTTGCAGGGAAAAGCTACTCAGTTCATATGGTTTAAAAGAAAAGTAGTATCAAAATGGTTTATTAATCTATTAATGACACATAGCCAGCAGTAGTGTGGATCAATACCAGTAACAGAAAAATGTAAACCATAGTACTAAACATTAAATGTTCATTAACACTTGAAAATTCCCGAATACACCCTCAGGAGTAATCCCAAACATCTGTAGCATCCCTGTGTCCCCTCAGCTCCCCACACTCATCTCCCCACCCTGCTTCCCCCTGGGGTCTCTTCCCCATTACAGGCTCTCACTTTCCTTTAATTTTGCTTGCCCACCTGCCTGTCACTTTGCTTCAGGAGCCTCACCAACACACAGTTTCTCTCACACCATGGCAAAAGGGAGGTTCTGTTCCTGTCTGCAAAACTACATCTATTTTTGCATTTTCACTTTTCAGTTTGCCCATTATATCAGAGTGAAGCTAAACTGTAATGTAGGGAGGGAGCAAAGTGTACAATGATTTCTATCAGCATAGTATCAAAGAATTTTCATCAGTAATTGAAACTGAGTTACACTAGTCAAAGCAAAGGAATACGGTGTATTTCCTGAGGCACTGTAGTTGCTTTTTTACTGTGTATATTCACTAGGGGTGAAATTCAGCCCTCTGCAGACAAGAGAGCAAAAAGCCTATCAGATTCTTCAAATCCACTCCGAGCTCCATTATAAAGAATTAAGTGGCACTTAAATGATACATAGGCTTTGTGCAGACCTTCTGCAAAGAACTGAATTTCAGCTTAAGAATCTGTGCTGACACTACTCTGCATCTCCTAAGAAGGGCTGTGCCCCTTCACTTATACTGAAGTTAATAGGAACTGACAGTGCTCAGCATATGGTAGAATTGCTTTCCCAGGTAATGCCATTTGAACTGGAGAACAAATAGAGTCTATCCAAGGGTTTTTCAGACAGTTTTGAGGTGTTGGAGGCAAGAAGAGGTTGTATCAACATAATGTCAAGCTATTCACCAAAGTGATCTTAGCTGTTTCATAAGACAGAGCAATTTGCAATGGATTTCCAGTTGTTAGTAAAAAAAGTCTCCATTCATGATCAGTATGGTCCAATTCAAGACTGTTCAACTGAGTAGTGCTTCAGAACACCACAAATTGCTTTCTGCTAAATACTGCAACTAGGTAAGTTTTGTCACCAAGCTTCTCACCTGTCAACATTATATACATATTTTCTATAGAAAATCAGCTTTACTTCTATACTTCCTTTTCCCACATTCACTCTACACTCAGGGAACTATCAATTGCATCTCTAGTCAATCTTTTAGCTGAAAATCATCACCTTTTTATGATAGCAAAAAACTGAGATAAATCTTGTTCAGCAGCAGTAAATGCAAAAGCTTACAGCCATCTAAAATCTGGTAGACTAAAACACTCAGATTGTTACAATTCATTGTATTTTTTTATTTTTTTAATGTTGCAAAATGAACTTGGAAATAAAATAAAAAGGTACTTTTTTTTGTAACTGAATATGTATATTGATTAAAACAGCATTTGGATAGAGAGACTTATGACTTCAGAATACATCATGCTGCTATGCATAAAAGGTAGTGTGCAAAGTGAATATTTAAAAATTATAAGCAAAACTATGGTGCACGAGTCTAACTGAAGTAAAGAAAAAAAACAATCAACCAACCAACAAAAAAAAAAGACCCAAAAGACAGCTTAGTTGATGTTTATCAGTCAATTCCTGATGCCTGAAGTAGTAAATAGAAGACTCATTGTAGTAGGGAGTACAGAAAATTTCCCCCAAGCAGAATATACCATTTTGAAACATACTCCTTAAATGAGAGTTGTACTTCTTACAGACTGATGTTCTCCTTCACATTATTTTTTTTTCAATGATAATTTGTAGCACTTCATGCAGGATGTAACGTATGCATTGGAGAAAATATTTCCTTTTTGACCTTCATATATTATTTCACTGTTGCTGTCCTTGACCTTTGAAGAAAGGTGATTGGCATAGCTGATTCCCAAGGTTCAGAAATGCCCTAGGATTAATCACTTTAGAAGGTCACACAGGAATTTGTTGCAGAACTGGAAACAAAACCTCTAAATTCTTAGTGGTCACTAGACTGGAGACCGTTCTGTGCCACCTTTTCCTTCAGAGAGAGTGTACATTGCAGTCATGAACTGTCCTTAGAGCAGCAATTTGACTGTAACAGTGTATAAGCCCCAAACGTCAATCTGTTTTACTATACAACAAGGAAACATTACAAACCTTGGATAACTTTTACACCAGTCATTCTGCTTCACTTAAAAAAATGGAGGCAGTGCTAATTCACAAAGAGTTAGTTTGTCTCAATTATTTATAGAGCATCTAGACTGAAGACTATTTAGTTCCAAGAACAGCAATATAGCAATGTCTAGACACCCATTTTATCATGTAGCTCTTGTTGTCAAG